ATAACACAGTTGAAGGGGTATAGCAAGGTGTAATTGTTAGATACAAGTATAACACTGTGACAGGGGTATAGCAAGTTGTAATTCTGAGATACAAGTATAACACTGTGATAGGGGTATAGCATGGTGTAATTCTGTGATACAGGTATTACACTGTTGAAGGGGTATAGCAAGGTGTAATTCTGAGATACAAGTATAACGCTGTGATAGGGGTATAGCAAGGTGTAATTGTTAGATAAAAGTATAACACTGTGATAGGGGTAAATCAAGGTGTAATTCTGAGATACAAGTATAACACTGTGAAAGGGGTAAAACAAGGTGTAACTGTTAGATAAAAGTATAACAGTGTTGAATGGGTATAACAACGTGTAACTGTTAGATACAAGTATAACACTGTGATAGGGGTATAACAAGGTGTAATTGTTAGATACAAGTATTACACTGTTGAATGGGTATAACAAGGTGTAAGTGTTAGATACAAGTATAACACTGTGAAAAGGGTATAACATGGTGTAGCTGTTAGATACAAGTATAACACTGTGATAGGGGTATAGCAAGGTGTAATTGTTAGATACAAGTATAACACAGTGATAGGGGTAAAGCAAGGTGTAATTCTGAGATACAGGTATAACACTCTGAAAGGGGTATAACAAGGTGTAACCGTTAGATACAAGTAGTACACTGTTGAAGGGGTATAACAATGTGTAACTATTAGATACAAGTATAACACTGTGACAGGGGTATAGCATGGTGTAATTCTGAGATACAAGTATAACACTGTTGAAGGGGTATAGCAAGGTGTAATTGTTAGGTACAAGTATTACACTGTTTAAGGGGTATAACCATACGTAACTTTTAGATACAAGTATAACACTGTGAAAGGGGTATAACAAGGTGTAACTGTTAGATACAAGTTTAACACAGTGATAGGGGTATAACAAGGTGTAATTCTGAGATACAGGTATAACACTGTTGAAGGGGTATAACAAGGTGTAACTGTAAGATACAAGT